TAATAATAATAATAATAATAATAATTTTAAACTGTATTTTCATTTTATTGGTAATAACAGTGCCCAAAAAGTTCATAAAATTACATTATATTGTGTATTATTTCCAGAAGTACCTTTTTGAAAAATTATGCTAAAGTATACTCTTTTTTTTTTCACCAGGAGACCCTTTAAGTGTGACCATGTACTTTTTGAGGCTGATGTATACTATCCTACAGTTTTGCACCATGTGATGTACTGAGCAATTAAGAGGTTGGCGCTATATAAATCTCCCCTGACAGGCATTGGGACATCTTGCATCTTTTAAGGTCAAAACTAATGCAAACGTTAGCAAGTGAACACCCTCCTTGAGCAGTGCCCTTTTTTTGAGTACAGCTTCCTTTCTTTCTGTCTCTGTCCTGTGGGGGAAGACAGTCCTGGTTACATTATCTGTTACAATACACGCTAAACGCTAATATGTATAATAAGAGGGTGCTAAGGCCCTGGATAGACAGATAATCTGTTATTGGAAGGCATCTTGGGCTATTTAGCATGTTTCAACTAAGGTCGTGATGCATTATAGTTTGTCAATCCGACTGATCTGCTGGTGGAAAAGAAGGTAGATACAAATTAGACAAATCTGAAATAATCTACTGAAAGCTCAAAAGCTTGAGATGTCTACAGTTTTTTGGTAATTTATTCATTTTAGGAGGTCAGCAGCACTATTGAAAGCTATAGGCACTTGATGGGCATCTGGGATTGACAAACTGGATTGGCAGAATGACGGTAGCACAGAAGAGTTAAGTTTTACTGCTCTGTAAATAGACCACATGGTTTGACCTCTACAGGTCATGTTGATGACAGCTGTTTGGACCTGGTCATTGCCCTTGTTTACTCTGTCAGTCCTGTGTCTACAGAACAGCTTCTTGGTTCAGGCGCATAATCATTTGGGTGAATGGTGAAGAACTGTGTCACAGTTCAGAAATTTTACAGAAAATAAATTAGACATAAAAACAAGAAGTGTTGCAGTAATGCCTGTGCGTTGAGTTAGATATCAGTGTCAAGGTAAGCATGAGATGTCAGATGTGCTCTTGCAGGCAAAGAAGCCTGTACGTGGCCTTCAAAATATATGACCAAAAAGTCTTTACATTTACATTTAGTCATTTAGCAGATGCTTTTATCCAAAGTGACTTACAAATGAGGACAATAGAAACAATCAAAACCAACAAATGGGCAATATTATGTAAGTGCTGGGGGCAGTCATGGCCTAATGGTTATAGAGTCGGACTTGTAAAGTTTTACTGCTCTGTAAATAGACCACATGGTTTGACCTCTACAGGTCATGTTGATGACAGCTGTTTGGACCTGGTCATTGCCCTTGTTTACTCTGTCAGTCCTGTGTCTACAGAACAGCTTCTTGGTTCAGGCGCATAATCATTTGGGTGAATGGTGAAGAACTGTGTCACAGTTCAGAAATTTTACAGAAAATAAATTAGACATAAAAACAAGAAGTGTTGCAGTAATGCCTGTGCGTTGAGTTAGATATCAGTGTCAAGGTAAGCATGAGATGTCAGATGTGCTCTTGCAGGCAAAGAAGCCTGTACGTGGCCTTCAAAATATATGACCAAAAATCCATAACTAAAGACAAAGATTTCATTTTCAACTGCATTCCACTGAAAGTCGGCCTGAATGCTTGTCGGTTCTTTGACATTCGCAGCCTTCTTAAATTCAAAAGAATCTTTTGCATACTTTGAATGTTATGATTTGGCAGGAAACATTAGCCAACAAGTTTGTTTACACTCTGAAGGACTGTGGCTACACGCTGACAATCAGAGTGAGTAGTGGTCAATTAATTTGAAAAACTGAACACATAACATAGAGTAATTTCAATCTATTCAGGGAGTTTATAATTATATAAATTAAGAATATAGGTGAGACCCTTGAGCAAGGCACTGAACCCCCAACTGCTCCCCAGGCGCCGCATCAATATGGCTGCCCACTGCTCTGTGTGTGTGTGTTCACTGTTGTGTGTATGTGCTCTTGGATGGGTTAAATGCAGAGCACGGATTCCGAGTATGGGCCACTATACTTGGCCACTCGTCACTTCACTTTCACTTTCACAAGTCTCAGTTAGCCTAACGCAGTACACGTAGCAAGGTTTTTTTTAATATAATAATTTAAAAAAACAAGTAGATAGGGGAAAAAAATAGGGAATGCTAGTGTTAGAGGGTCTTTTTTTTAAATAAAAATAAAAGTCAAAAGAATAGATAATGCTAGTGTTAGAGGGTCATTTTTTAAATAAAAATAAAAGTCAAAAGAATAGGGAATGCTAGTTTTAGAGGGTAATTTTTTATAATGAATAAAAAGAAAACAAGAAGATAGAATAGAAAAGAATAGAGAATGCTAGTGTCAGAGGCTCTCTCTTTTTTTAAAGAAGACAAGTAGTAAGAATAGAAATAGAATAGAGTGTGCAAGTGTTAGAGGGTCAAATGAAGATGGAAGAGATGTGTTATTAGTCATTTCTTGAAGATGGCTAAGGACTCAGATTGAGTTGGGCAGGTCATTCCACCAGGAGGGAACAGTTCATGTAAAAGTCTGTGAAAGTGATTTTGTGCTTCTTTGGGATGGCACTATAATGTGCCGTTCACTTGCAGAACACAAGCTTCTAGAGGGCACATAACTCTGAAGTAGTGAATTTAGGTAAAGGGGTGCAGAGCCAGTGATGGTTTTGTAGGCAAACATCAATGCCTTGAATTTTATACGAGTAGCTATTGGTAGCCAGTGTAAATGGATGAACAGAGGTGTGACATGCGTTCTTTACGGCTCGTTAAAGACTAATCTTGCAGCCGCATTCTGGATTAATTGTAGAGGTTTGATAGAATTGGCTGGAAGACCTGCTAAGAGATCATTCCAACAGTCCAGCCTGGACAGAACAAGAGCTTGAACAAGGAGTTGTGTTGCATGTTCCGAAAGAAAGGGCCTGATCTTCGGACAGAACAAGAGCTTGAACAAGGAGTTGTGAAGCATGTTCCGAAACAAAGGGTCTGATCTTCCTAATGTTGTATAAAGCAAATCTGCAGGACCGGGCAGTTTTAGCAATGTGGTCTGAGAAATTCAGCTCATCATCAAGAGGAGGAGGAGGACAAAGGAGGTAGGAAAATGTTTTAAAGAGCATGCGAGTGTTAGACGAATTGTTAATTTTGTTGTGAAAGTATTTCTTTTTAGCAGTGGAAGCATTAGCAGAGAAGGAAGAGAGGAGTGTCCGATATACATTAAGATCAGTGGTATTTTTGGATTTGCGCCATACCCTTTCTGCAGTCCTGAGCTTAGAACGATGCTCGCGGAGAACATCAGACAGCCATGGGGCAGAAGGGTGGTACGAGCTGGCCTGGAAGAGAGGGGGCAGACAGTGTCTAAACAAGACGTAAGAGTGAGCAAAGAGTGTCAATAGCACTGTTAGTAGGAAATGATGAGAACTGTTTAGGAGGAGGAAGCGTATGTAGTATGTGGCTGGTGGTCCTGTTAAGCAGCATGAAAAACAACTTTTATTCAAATTTTGAATTGATTATGTAGCCTAGAAAGTGAGCAAATAGCGCTTCCGTATAATCACTAAAAATCTGTCACTCACTTCAGTTTATCGCAATCTCACAATGTTCCGTTATAATCAGTGAATCTCTTATTTATCGTGTGTACATGTGCGTTGGACTCGGCTCCTCCCGACAGCAGATGCAGGTTAACAAAACACATTTTCCTGCGTTTTTCAGTCAATTTCTAGCTTTTTTCCCCCTTATGAGCATCAACTTTTGGTACACAATAAAAGGCACAAAACATACACATTTTGTGATAGTGGTTCCTATGTAGAAAATCACTTCCTGCCCTATGTTTAGTGTTGTGTTTAGTGAAGCCTCCAACGCAGTGACGTGACGTCATGTGCAAACAAGTTATTGGGAGATAGAAACTCCCAGCTGTGGAAACAAAATTTAGAATTGTTGTTCAGAATTATTTTCATGGCGAAACAGGCTTCTATAGTATTATGATGTGTTCTGGAAAGTTTTCACAAATCTTCATAAAAAAAAAAAATTTAATTCATAAATAATTAAATAATTCCAGACTTTATAAACACAAGTTAAGTTGCATTTTAAAGTTGTTTTAGGACAGCCAGAACAATTCATTTAGAAGAACACAAGAACAATCCAAACATGTAATTCCTAAAAAGGAAATGAGGACATACCAGCGTGGAATGTGAGAATACTTATGAGATTACAGTTTGGATTAGTAAATGACACTTGATTCACATAAGGGCTTATTCAAAGCCCTGGAGCTAAGCTGTCTGTTGCTTAAGATTTTCCAGCTAAATGCCCCTTCGAGAGGGCATATAATGAGACTTTTAATGTCATTAGGGGATTGCTAAGGACAGACAATTACTTGCAGAAAGCATTTGAAGCGTTTGAATGGAAGAGAGTATCTTGCTGGAGGCTGGGAGAGGATTCTCCTTAGCATGTCTTAGAGATGCTTACTGAAGAAGCCATTGTAATTAGTTCAAATGGTCACCAGGGAGAATGGGGCTGAAGAGCTGCAACCTAAGATATTGGGAGAGGGAGAGAAGGGTAATAATTATGACAAAAGGCCCGTCCATGAATGTAAGCAGTGCACTCTTTTGTAATAAGCTTGATCAAATGGTTTTTATTTTCATATTTGTAGCCTTCATCCTTTTTAGTGCAAAACCCCCCAACCTGCAGAAAGGGGCAGATCAGTGACCCGGACACAATTTAATTTGCTTTGTCCCTCTATGTTATTGGTTTTTATGTTCATTGATGCAAAATGGTCTCATTAAGACATTTAAGGTAAAAGAAAAATAACTTAATTTGGTAGACATGCAAATATTTCAAGACAGTAAATATAATTTAATCCTTTCAAAGTAGCCTGTACTACTGTGGGTTAGACTATATTTATTTGCAAAAATGGAAATTTTCATATGCAAGGGCCCCAAAACATTTTAAGACACTTAAGACACACTGTGTAGCTTCAAACGTGTGCTTGTGGTATTTATTTATTTATTTATTTTTAATAAATGCCATTTGGTTTGTTATTTTAATAGAATGCAATGGCATTCATGTATTTTTTAAAGTGTGGATTAGGTGTCTACATACTTTCTAGGGCCGAAATATTGATTTTTGTGAAGTTGTCACAAATTGTCACATAAAAAATTGTCTTAACTTGAAGCTGTAATGCCATGTACAGTATAGGGCAGGCTGTATTGCAATTTTAAGTGCATGCATTTAAAATTAAGTTAAACCTAAGTATGACACTTGTTGCATTATGGATCAGTGTGTTATGCAAACAAAATGAAAAAAGGCATTATTAATTTACTTTGATTATTTAAATATTTATATTTAATTCATAGTTTATTTGTATTATTTAATACTGTGAAGTTATGTGGACTTCACTTAGTTGTTTTGTAACTAATTTTCTGTTGTGAAAAGCACATACAGACATGACCAAGCATTGTGTAAATGGTTTTTATTGCATGAGAATTGGCTCTGTGATGTTTTACAAGGCCCTACATGTGTTCAGGACACTGGAACGACTTGCTAGACTGACAGTGAGAGGGATACCAATCTAAGTTCTGAGTGCAGGAAACCTCCCTGTGGTGAAAGAAAGAACTCTCACTTTATTTCATGTTCTTCATGAATTGAAATGCAAGGCTATTTTGGGAATGGAATACTAGCTTATTTTATGTACTTGCTGAATATATATTTGAAATCCAATTTTCTATATCTGGAAGACCAAGAAAAGCAAAACAAGGTTATTATACTTTCAGCTTTACTGTATCTTACTGCAGTTTAGTTACAACTTTGCTTTAACACACCTGCTTGTCATTTTCAAGTGAACCCAAAGATTTTGATAGTTCATTCAGGTGTGTTTGATTAGAGCTGGAACTAAATTTTGCAGTTTGATTTCCAGGAGCAGGGCTGACACACCTGTCACATGATCTGTTCCATCAAATGCCTTGTCTTGGCTTGCCAACACTGCTTTACTGCCCCTATAAAAATGATTTACAAGGAAATTGAGGTAATTAGAACCGAATTGAGGTGACAGAAGCTCTTACAGGGCATCTGGTTGTTATGCTGGGAAAGAAATTAGTTTGTTAATTTGTAAAGGACAAGAGTAATTAAGTTGCCAGGACTGACGCAGTTACTTAACTGAAGTTAATGGGGGAGGGACCAAGTAAATGCAAAACCTCACGCCTCGCTCCTCTGAAGTGTAGATCAGAGATGATAGGGCACGACTGAGCATATGCTAAGTTGTTTTTGAACACTAAGGCATGGCTAAGAACGTGACTACTGCCGTTAGTCATTTTCAGAATGATATAGTATGACTAAAGGCTGTTATTACGAGGTCTCTAAATTACTTGATTCAGATTGGGCAATCGTGGTCCTATAGATTGTGTAAGGGCCTTTAAACTGGATGTCAAAGAACATACATATTCAATTCATTGCAGTCTCCAGCTGAAATGAACACATTGGCAGTAACTTTTATTCTTTTTCACACAAATTATGATTAAGGGGCAGATTATCATTTAATAAAGACATGGTTCCTTAGCCAATGCTATATAATGACCTCAAGACATTTTACCATAGTGTATGATTTGTAAACTAAACCATTTTGACATTTGCATTACATAACCAGCTCCTTATGTATGGCTTTTGTAACATAGTAAACATACTTGTTTGCTTACCTGGTACAGCATTCACACAGGTCATGATAAAAGAGTTCAAAGACTTGTAGAAACAAGCAAAAATGGCATGGTTGCTTCAGCGAATGCATTTTTATTTGACTTTTGCTTATTGGCTAGGTTTAGTGTCAGTGGTACATTCTTTTCAAACACAATAGAGCATTAACTAGGGCTGGGTAAAAAATATTGATTTGTTCTTCATGAATTGAAATGCAAGGCTATTTTGGGAATGGAATACTAGTTTATTTTATGTACTTGCTGAATATATATTTGAAATCCAATTTTCTATATCTGGAAGACCAAGAAAAGCAAAACAAGGTTATTATACTTTCAGCTTTACTGTATCTTACTGCAGTTTAGTTACAACTTTGCTTTAACACACCTGCTTGTCATTTTCAAGTGAACCCAAAGATTTTGATAGTTCATTCAGGTGTGTTTGATTAGAGCTGGAACTAAATTTTGCAGTTTGATTTCCAGGAGCAGGGCTGACACACCTGTCACATGATCTGTTCCATCAAATGCCTTGTCTTGGCTTGCCAACACTGCTTTACTGCCCCTATAAAAATGATTTACAAGGAAATTGAGGTAATTAGAACCGAATTGAGGTGACAGAAGCTCTTACAGGGCATCTGGTTGTTATGCTGGGAAAGAAATTAGTTTGTTAATTTGTAAAGGACAAGAGTAATTAAGTTGCCAGGACTGACGCAGTTACTTAACTGAAGTTAATGGGGGAGGGACCAAGTAAATGCAAAACCTCACGCCTCGCTCCTCTGAAGTGTAGATCAGAGATGATAGGGCACGACTGAGCATATGCTAAGTTGTTTTTGAACACTAAGGCATGGCTAAGAACGTGACTACTGCCGTTAGTCATTTTCAGAATGATATAGTATGACTAAAGGCTGTTATTACGAGGTCTCTAAATTACTTGATTCAGATTGGGCAATCGTGGTCCTATAGATTGTGTAAGGGCCTTTAAACTGGATGTCAAAGAACATACATATTCAATTCATTGCAGTCTCCAGCTGAAATGAACACATTGGCAGTAACTTTTATTCTTTTTCACACAAATTATGATTAAGGGGCAGATTATCATTTAATAAAGACATGGTTCCTTAGCCAATGCTATATAATGACCTCAAGACATTTTACCATAGTGTATGATTTGTAAACTAAACCATTTTGACATTTGCATTACATAACCAGCTCCTTATGTATGGCTTTTGTAACATAGTAAACATACTTGTTTGCTTACCTGGTACAGCATTCACACAGGTCATGATAAAAGAGTTCAAAGACTTGTAGAAACAAGCAAAAATGGCATGGTTGCTTCAGCGAATGCATTTTTATTTGACTTTTGCTTATTGGCTAGGTTTAGTGTCAGTGGTACATTCTTTTCAAACACAATAGAGCATTAACTAGGGCTGGGTAAAAAATATTGATTCTTCGATTTTAATTGATCTTCAATTTTTGGATTTTGATGGAAGTAAAATAATACATTTTTCAATTTTCTGTCCATGTATTTATGGATAAGTAGCCATGTCGGGGTCTTGATCACCCTAATGTTTTTTTTTTATTTTGATCGGCTGACTGTACATTATCCTTCCTTTAACCAAATAACTTGCTACAGTTTTTAGCACACATTCAGCTTGCTGGTAGGATACTTCAATGCAAAGCCGCTTTGATATGCTTTTGATGTTTCTGATCGTAATTAATGATAAATATGTGATGTTTTTTGCCTGAACCCAGTATCACAGTGCAGCTGTAATCCAGCATTGTACTTGATGGGCGAGAAGAAAAGGGTCTCTTTATGAAGCAAAGAGCTGTTGGTTTGTGTTGCAGATGCTTGTGTTGTCTCACAGGGAGTCTCAGTCTCCTACCCGATGGCCATGGCCTTTGTGGCTCTGACATCCCTCATATCTTTTATTTACTTGTTGTTTAGTGAGGACCTCCTTCAGGCTTTCACCACCCTCAGGCTAGCTGCAGGCGATCAGCACAGACAGGTCACTACAGCTGGGGCTGTACCATCACTCCTGCGGCACACACCTTCTCCTCCCCCAGCTGCTCCAAGAGCAGTCACTCACATCATAAGTAACGACGGTCTCGTTTAATAAGATGTAGTATCTCACATTAAAACACATCATAGCCCATCACAGAGAAATACAAGTACCACTTTTCCACTGTAATGATGTTGGTGCTGGAGCTGGTGCTCTGCCAGGAAATCTATGAAACTCTTTCAGACTTGACAGCCGTATGACAATGTAACTGACTATGTTACTACAGAAACATAGCTGTCTTTGATGACTAGACTTACTGCTAGATTTGAAATTTGTGTATTCAGACAAAACAAATATTTCATTATGCAGTAACAATATACAATATATTAAACAATAATATAACAATATATAAGTAATAATAATTATTATTACAATGTATTCTATTTAACCCCCTCACACCAGCATGGTTGTTGTTGCAATCTCCAGTAGTTTGTTGTTCTGTCTCACCTGTTTTGACTGTGAAACAACAATCCAGAGTGCACTGCACACATACCCTAGTGTACGTTTAAAAAGCAAAGTATACTTTGGGCTTAATTTGGCAATGCAGCCTAAAGCTAAGCATCCAAACTTTGACCTTGCTGTACTTTGTTAGGACATTGTACCAGTCGTTACTATAACCTGGTCTTGGACCAGCAGGTTTTTCCAGACCAGAACCACCTTTTTTTCAATGGAAACTTTCTTAACAGTTCTAGATTAAGAGCTAAACTGATGGAAAGAGGTATAGGTGAGAATCTTGGTGTTAAGGACAGACCACTCCCTTCTGTTTGTCCAAACACTTCAGCTCAGTGTTGGTCCATCATTTCTAGTTGATAGAAGGCGCATTACTACTTTTGGTGAAGCTCTGTTTGTCCTGTGCTCGACAGATTTCCTGTGAAATACTGGTGAGGTTGTGTTTAGTGAAGCCTGCAATTCCTTCGCAAGCAGCTGCATCCTTTCTTGAGACGTGGCTGCTGTTTCAGGGTGTGTGCTGTCAGGTCGTTGACAATGAGGACAAAACTCCCCTGTGATTAAAGAGCAGCAGTTAGAATTGGAATGCTGCCAACATGAAAGGTTCAGTCCAACTGCTGAAAACCATTTCCATGAGACATTTCTGTTATCTATTTGCTTTAGCACACTGTCGTGCCATCAGCTTAGCTCTATACTATTACAGCAAACAAATAAATAATGGTTTCTTGTAGGTTTTTTGTTGGATGATAAACACATCAGCACATGGATCAGCACTCTATCCTTTCTTTATTTTTGTCAC